ATGTGAGGTGACCGGCCACTACCTATTTTTAGGGTGAATGGCATATATTTTGTGATTAATTGGGTAATTTAATTGATGTTTAATGGATTAATTGGGTAATTAATCCATTAATTAACCAATTAACATTATTTTGTAGGTTACCTTGCAAAAGGGGATTTGATGAGATGGACTTTGAATTGGTTACCTCTTTTGGAGCATTTTTTATTTTGTTGAAAGATGATTCTCCGCTACTCGCGCGTAGGAATCCCAATGTGCCTCAAGGGTATTCTTGTCCTTTTTTATCCAAAGATCCACGTGTCACCTTGTGATTATTTTTGGCTCCACAAATGTCCCCACACCTGTTGGGCTGCTCATAAGAAAGGGCAGCAGGTGTAGAGATCTTCTTGCTTCAGGAAACGTAGGATTGCTTCCTATTTTGATGTTGATTATCTCTTTAATTGGAAATTAAGTCCTTCTAGGAAAGGGAAATAAACTTTTCTCAAAGCCTATTTAAGTCCACCGTAAGTGGGTTATTAAATCAACTTTGGAGAGCAATTTATTCTACCCCACAAGAGAGAGAAAGTTAGAGGATATTTGTTCCCCCTCCTCTAGCAATCTTCTACATCTTGCCCGTGCAAAGGACCGTCTTTCGTTGATTTCTTCGTCTTCTCCGTGCTGCACCAATGTAAGAAAATTTTAATTTTTCTTGCCTTCTTCTTGGATAGTGCTATTGTGGGGCAGCCGTCGAGGTGGTGCGGCATGTCGGCTGGCAAGGGCCAGGAGTTTGCTCGGCATGGGCCGAGGAGATGTCGTGGCAGGGACCACTGCTTGGGCAGCTTGGCTTGGCTTGAGCCAAGGGCAGCTTATGCGGCTGGGGTCGCGGATTGTGGCGCTGGGGCACAGTGCTAGGCGAGCCGTATGGCTCATGTCCTTTGGTCTCTTGGACCTAACTCGGGCCAAGCTGGCGATTGAAATAAATGATGAGATTGTGGGTCGCATGGGCTGCTGGAATGTTGGGTATGCAGGCCTCCTGCTTGCTGGTCCGAGAGGAAAAAATGAGGGATAAGCCAGTATAGGTTGAGCTCTCATGCTGAATATCGTGAATGGCATTGTTGAAGGTGGAAAGAAGAGATCTTCCCCGCCTTAGATTCAAGATCTTAAGCATGTCATTTCTGAGCTTCATTATGCTGCAAAAGATGAAGAGTTGATTGCTGCTTATAACCAAGTGATCCACTTCAAGAAAATCGTCGATAGGCTTGAACCCCAAGTGTTGGAACTTCAAGGCGTACTGAAGATCAACGAAAGTCTGAAGAAGGAAGTGGATGAGCTGTAGAGCATCCACGTTGGTCTGCTCGAGGAAGATGAGCAACTGAAAGGTGAAATGGCTGGGCTTGGGGTTTTGAGACCTTCTCTATTTCTCCGGAAGACTTGCTTGATTTTACTTTTGAGGCTTCTATTTGTGAAATAGTTGGAGAAGTTAGTGCCCAGGCTAGGGCAGCCGGGGGTGAAGCGTCGGATGATACCGCTGCTAAGAGCGTCGCGGCTGCTAAAGGTGTGGCGACCGAGTAGTCGTGGGATGTCCAAGCTGCTATAGTCTTCTAGGTAGCCTTTAGGATTTTATTTGTTTTTCCTTGTAGCTCTTGTTTTGCTTAAACTCCTTCGACCTTTGCTAGTTGTTTATAAACATGTTTTCCTTCGCTTTTCTTCATCTTCACTTCTTTTGTTCATGCCCTAACCTTTAGACTTGATAGACCAGTGGCAGGCATGCTACTTTTTTATAAGCAGACAAGCCCGCGTAGCCTATGCAGCCGTAGGTGTTGGTGTAGAACTTTGCAAAGTTGTTAGCCATAGGGTTGGCAGCCGGATGCCTTACTTACAGAAGCAGACAAGTCCGCATAACCACTAGGCTATTAACCTTGGCTTTCTCCAATTTCGTAGGTTGCGTAGCAAGTATCACAACATTTTAGGACTTGATGTAGGTTCTTCCGCGCTTGGCAGAGATGAAGCTTATCGACTACGTAGTATCTCGGCAATGGATAAAACTTCATATATGCGTGCTAGCTTGTTTAACCTTTCACAAGAATGTACGGTTGTATAAGTCTAGCGCAGTTTTACTGCTCGAAGGGCAAGCCATAGGCAGTCTTCCAGAATCCGTAGGCTACCTTAGTGCACTCTGTAACAGCTTTAGGGTTCCACGGCAGCCGTCTGTAGGGCGTACTACATTATGTGCCCCCTCCGTCTCTGGGGTCTGGTTCCCCACGGATTAGGCCAAGAGACCCAAAATCCTTCAGTTAGCTAAGCCTTGAAAAAAACCTTTATAGCTACTTCTAGGAATCTATGCGCAAGCCATCGTGCATCTAGTTATACTAGGGCAGCCATACTCATCCACGTCTGGATATTCAGAGTGTAAAGTTTATCCTCCCGTCTTGGAGAGCTGGCCCATATGGGTGTCGGGGAATTGGTTTACCCTCTTGCATTGGAGAGCAATTAGTTTACCTTCTCGCACTGGAGAGCATGGTTTGTCCTTCGGGAGGCTCAATTCCTGCGATGAGTCCCTAAGTAGGGCGTAGTCTTCTTTTGAAGTGCAAGAGTGATCAGTTGTTGTAAGCATGCAGCCGAGCCAAGTTGTGATTACTTCTAAATTTCTCATTAAAAAAACGAGTGAAACGAACGAGAACTTAGTTGTAAGGTAGGAACTGCATAACAACTGGATAGTCATCGGCTTATGAAGTGGTGCCGGTCGAGCTTCTTGAGTCTTCAGGTTTTGTTGTAGCTGGGGAGGAGTTGCTGCTGGTAGGCTACTATTCAAGTGATGGTCTGCTCACGCTTCTCCTCTGCTAGATCTAAACTTGTGGCCATCTCCTTACCGTTCGGTTGTTCATCTTTTGGTGGTACGATATACCCATAGACATCCGAAGAGTTCGTTTAGCCATTTTCCCTTCTTGTTGGTGAGGGATTTCTTGAGGCAGTCGAGGATCGTCTTGTTTGATACTTCGGCCTGCCCATTGCCTTGAGGATATCTCGGCATGGACATGTGCTGCTAGATGCCATATTCTTAAGACACTTTTGTACTAACTCCTTAGCATCTTGGTGCATGGTAGGCCAATAGTAGCCTGCGTTAAGGCTATGCTAAGGATTGGCCTCCAGAGTGGTTTCCACATACACCTTCATGGATTTAATCTTAGAACTTTCAAGTCGTCGGGAGGCGCTAGGCAGCGGATATGTGATCCGGTGTGGGACCTTTGGATGAGAATGCTATGACACTTAGGTTGTTGGCTCCATCTCTATGCTTGGCTTGTCAAGATATTCCACCGGAATAGAGCGGTTTGAGTTGGTGATCGAGTGCGGAGCCTAGGCCGGCTAGTACGTCTGCATGGGCATTGTCTGCCCGGGGAACTTAAGTGAGAGTTTAAGTCTGAAATGCCTCAAGCTGCTTGCGTACTTTCTCTAGGTAATACGTCATCGACATGCAAATGCCAGAAATCTCCATTGAGGGAGCAGATGCAGCTATAGTGTGCTCGGCTGCCTTCGGGGAGCCGTTGGGCCGCTCTGTTGCGTTGTCAAGGCTAGGTGTGAAGGCGCGGTAGGGAGCCGTGAGGCTGGGGCCATGTTACATGTAGCAGGAAATGCTCAATTTCTGGTATTGGGCCACTCTAGAGTTGAATAATGGAGCAAAGGTTGGCTAGGGCCGTGTGACGCGTAGCAGGAGGTAGTGTTCAACTGCCGGTACATGTTGCTTTTATGTAGAATCTTCTGGGGCGACAAGGACAAAACTTGCTTTTGAATGTTCCTTCCAGTGTTTGTCTACCCTTGGCGTGTCCTTTGGGCCTAGTTGTTGTGTTCGTCAGGATTTGGTGGAATAGTGCATCATGATGATGACTGCGTGCGTTTGAGGGTAAAACTTAAGCTTTTAGGTTACAACAACTATCGCCAAAGTTAGCTTTTGAATTTCTGATAACATCAATAAGAGTTTTTAAACTGTGGAATACAACTTATAACATCGATGAGAGCTTTTAAACTATGGAATACAGGTAGTCGGGCCCCCAGCTCTTCTCGTATGATGGTAGAGCTTATTTCTGCTTCAGATGCGACTACTCGTCCAGTCAGACTTTGAATCTCCTTCATAGTAGTGGGGAACTTCATATTCAAGATTGTTGGATTTTCCTTAAATGGGCATCGGCGAACTTCGTCCCAAAGTGCATGCTTCTCTGCCAGAGCGAAAGAGTCTGCCAGAGTTAGATCTTCTTTCATTATCAGTTTTCCGAACAATGGGTGGTCTGCTAAAAGTCCTTTTTGGAAGGCTACTCTAGCTATCGAGTCGTTGCATCCGACTATTTTTGCCTTCTCTACTTTGAACCTCCTCATATAGTCGCGAAACGACTCCTTTGGGTTCTTCTTGACGTCGAACAAATGGTCAGACTTCTTTTTGATCGCGCGATAAGATGAATATTTTTTGGTGAAAACCAAAGAAAGTTCGTAGAAATTCCGAATGGATTGTGGCGGCAGGGTGTAAAACCAATCTTGCGCCTCGCCTTGTAAAGTGGTGGCGAATATCTTGCACATGAGATCATCGTTGTTTCGATAAAGGATCATTACGCTTCGGTAGCGCTTTAAGGGCTGGTTTGGTATTGCTGTGCTTTGAAAAAAAGCTGCTGTGAGAATAAGCGACTGTGCTGTGAGAATAAGCGGCTGTGAGAATAAGCAGCAGAGTGTTTGGTAAACTTTTTTTTAAAAGTGCTTTTGGAAAAAAAAAGTAGTATGATAGTGTTTGGTAAACTTTTATGTGAAACAGCTGTGACTGTGTGAAATGACCAAAAACGGTATAATACTAAATGTGCTATTAATTTAATTTTCTTAACAAATAAAAGTTAATTACTTAAATATACTTTATTTTTAGAGAAAATTATTTATAAACTTTATATTAAATATTAATTAGTATGACAAACTACTTCAATTGAAATATTTTAGACTGAATAGCTAGGATTCATTAGTACAATATTGTTAGTGTACTTGAAAGTAGTCTAATTAGATGCATTCATCAAACTTGTTGCTATTCTATTTCTTAATGCCTCTATTTCATGTGATCCTTCAACTTGATAATTTTGATATTCATCATCATCATCATCACTACTATCGCTCTCTTCACAAAAGTCTCTGGGGTCATCAAAATGACGATCACGTTCAGAATACCTCCGTATGTAGTTATGAAGAGCCATTGTAGCAATGACAATCTTCACTTGCTTATTGAACGGGTAATTAGGCATGTCCCTTAAAATTGCCCATCTTTTCTTCCATACCCCAAAAGTTCGTTCAATGATGCTCCTAAGAGAAGAATGTCTGTAGTTGAATACCTCTTTATGACCCGTTGGTTCGGCACCCCTACGAAAGTCCGGGAGATGATATCTTTCACCTTTGTATGGTCCCAAATAACCTCTTATTTGTGGGTACCCCGCATCTACCAAGTAATATTTTCCTGACAATTGAAAATTTTGTTTTGTATTGTAATAATTATACAAAGCAAGTATGTAAAATGTTATAATAAAAGTATGAAAATTACCATTTGGAGGCTTGGAAAAGTTTAAATTTAGATCCCGTAGCATGGATAGAAAAACCCTTGTATCATGTGCAGTGCCTTCCCATCCGGCACAAGCAAATGTGAATTGCATATCAAAATTACATGCAGCCATAACATTTTGAGTTGGTATTCCTTTCCTACCAATGTACGGAACTTGATCCGGAGGTGGTATTGAAGCCTCAACGTGCACTCCATCTATGGCACCAATACAATCCTAAAAATAATAACATAGAAGAAAACTGTCAACCTACACTTATAGTTTGCAAATAAGTTAGAAGACGAGTCAAACTTTACCTTAAAATAAGGCATGTATCTTGTATCTCTCCTTATTTCTTGAGGAATGCCACGAAACTCTGAATCCATTGGTTTGATAATATCTATTGCCATGTTACATACGATATCCAACATAACACCAAAATATCTACTAACAGTCTCACCAGAATGTTGAAATCTCTCTTGAGCTAATCTATTTTTCACACCATGTCCCAACATATGCAAGAACATTCCTAATATTTCAATTGCATTCATTCTCCTTGTACCTTTCAATCCATAATTAGTTTGCAAGTCATTGGATAATCTATAAAAGACATCTTTGTTCATCCTAAACATTCTATAACATCGCACATCATTTCCTTGTAGTACTTCCATCAACCAAATATTACCTGTATGGGAATAATTCATACATGGAGTTTTGTGGACATATTTTAAATAATATGTTTCAACAGCTTTCGCTACAGCGCATATAATTACACCATCCTCCAACTCCTCAACATCATCATCAGAGGTGTTCATATTGAATATACCTGTAACCTAACACATAATTCAACATTCCACAAGTCATAATCTAACAATCACTAAGAAGTCATAATCCGACATTCAAGAACAAGTCAATCCAACGTTTAACAAGAAATTATAATCCAACATTCAATAAACACAAAATACAAGCAACATTCAACACAGTCTTAATGCAAAGTACAAACCACACAAAGTCCTAATTCATAGTTATAGCTTCTTATTTTTCTTTGTTGAACATATATTTCAACCAAGTCAGCCGGACTTCAGGATCTTGGATCGTGGTAAACACCTCTCGCTTCTCTGCAGAACAAAATAAACATGTAGCAAACAACCATAACTCGCTAGGTGGCTCACAACCAGGCAATTGTCCTACAACTGCTAACACTTCCGAAATACTACTACCTATATGCAGCGACCTCATCAATGAGTTTGCAGAACTCCTAGTTTCATAAGCTTCAACAAGACGGTCAATTTGACCACAAAGTTTTGCAGCACCTCCAATTTTTTTCCCTTTCTTATCAACCTTCTTCTTTCCCAATTCTCCTTGGTTAGCCGCTCTTTTTTTTCCCTTCCTACTTGCTTGCCTTAGATCCTGCATAGTCTCATTTTCTTCCTCATCATATGAATCAATTTGTCCTACAGATTCCTCTCTTGACTCTGGTGGTAGTACTCCAGATGAAGGTGCCCAGGCATGTTCACCGGTAGCAAATGTAGTCGAGAACATCCTATCTAAATTTTCTTCCATCTCAGGACTAATGCCTTTTTTCGCAATTTTTCATATTCTTTGTTATCTACAAGTAAGAAAGAATATGATTAATACATATTGCATGATATCATAATACATATTAAAAGATAAATACACAAACCTGAATTTTATTATTCCACCACTCCTCAGAGGCATCAATAGTACCCTTGCTCGAATTCCACCCTAGGCCAGTTTCTTTACCAACTAGCTCTTTCCACAACTTCCACTCATTTTTAAGTGCATCCCACTTATTTTTCAGTTGCTTTCTTTCATAATCATGCCCTGTCTCTGCTTTGAAGTTAGCTCTAATATTTGCATATCCATTTTTGTCAAAGTGAGTGCCCGGACGATGTCCGGCCTCAACCTCCTTGATGCAAACATCACAAAATATAGATATATTGTGGGCATTCCATGTAGCTACAGGATTTGACGAAGATGCCCCCTTCTTTGCCATCGATACCAATTACTGATGGTACAATATTGACCTATATTATGCATATGATGAGGATGTTCAAAGTTTTCTGCCATGCAGTTACTGCCTCTATTAAAAACATGCTCTATAATCCTAATATTCACATTCAAGTAGATGGAATATCTCCCAACAAACATTCACTTATTTAATAGAGCGATTCAATTCAAGTTGGTGTTTTCAAAATCAAGTTCTACTTTTAAGCTTATTGCATGATTTCAAAAATTATTTCCAAGCATAAAATAATTATGAGTACAAGATATTCATCTTATTGTGTCAATATTCGAGAAATATATTTCCTCTTGAAAAAGATTAAAACATGGATACCCTCCAAATGGCCTCTTAAGATGAATATGGATGGTGAGCGGAACAATATCATTGTCATTCCAAGAGAATTGCTCAAATTCAAAGTCCTTTTTAATATTTCAGTGCATAACACAGAATGGGTTTCTAATGTCAAGCCATTGTCATATCAATCAGTTTCAATACTGAAAAACACCAACCCTAGAAGCGTGAATGTTAGGAGTAAAGATAGATGGTCCTTTATGTTTAAAGAAAGACAGGTAGTCTGTGCACATAAGCTCTGCCTATAGGGATAAAATCCCTTCCTCTGTGCACATAATCATGACAAAGGCTTGACTACTACCTGACCGTTTTACCATACTTGTTGGCTGAACAGAAAGAAACAAACACACAAAAAAATGACTTTCCAATTTCCATCCTAATTTCATCAATTTCTCAGTAAACAAACACGAAAAAAAATAAAATGAGCAGCCAATTCAACAATTAACAAACAAATTACAGAGAATCAACTAAAAAAATCAGCGTAAACATATGGAGAAAACGAGAGAGAAATCTCACAGGTCTGAGAGGGAGTGAGAGCGCGCACGATTGGTTGGATTGGACACGAACCGCTCAGCGAGAGAGATCTCAAAGGAGTTGCAATGACGGGCAATAAAGGAGCACAGGGATTGAAAACTCCGTGGGCTGAAAACATGAAGCCAAATCAGAAAGCCAAATAATTGGGATAGTGCAGAAAATTAAAACAAAACAAACAAAACAAATTAGAGCAAAAAAAGACAAAAGGTCAACGAAAGCTTGGTGCCATAAAGATACAAAGAGAATCATTCTCCCTCCCTCCCTCCCTCCCTCCCTCCCTCCCTCCAGGGAGAGCAAGAGAGCAAAAGAGTGAGAGACAGCGGGAGGAGGACACAATACCATATAGCAGGTGAACAAATTGCCCACAACTGGTCATCACATTGTATTCTGTCAATTTTGGTTTCATTAAGATTTTGTTTCTTATATAAAAGAATGACCTCAAAAGATGGAAAATTAGACCTTTCTATAAGCATATTATAAGTATATAATTCAAACTCCCACTACTTTTAGGTATTTAACATGACCGGCCAGTGGGAAAAAAACAAGAACCAGTCATTCTAATCCTAAACATAATTGTTAACGAATAAATCATACTACAATTTTCTCAACTAGATAAAGGGGAACATTTTGGAGCAGAGAACAGGCTGGAAATTGTCTCAACAACAGAAGTATATATATATGTATGCGATCCCAGGGAACAATTTTCTCAACTAGATAAAGGGGAACATTTTGTATGCGATCCCAACTACAAATACGACTACGTACAAATATATATATGCGATCCCAGGTACACATATACGACTACGTACAAATATATACCATCATAAAGAAAACATGATTAATTTTCCAACTTTCGGGAGAAAATCAATATGCATATATACAAGTAAAAGTATGGTTTTACCTTTTTAATTGCAAAGGCAGGAACTTGAAATAGAGAAGATATGACGAGAATAACTGGAGCAAAAACGAAAGTTTTCCAAATCAGAAGCACAGTTCACATATTAGAAGCAAAGCAAAGCTTTATAAGAAATTATCCCTTACCTAAACCCAAATCAGAAGCAGACCTTCTAAAAAAATGAATAGAGAAGTAATCAAACTTCTCTCTCAAATTTTCTTGTTTCCTCCACAAACCCTAATTTTTTCCCCAATTAATTTTTTCCCGATTAATTTTTTCCACAAATCATATCACCTTCCCCATTTCATTTTTCCCCACCCTCCATCCCCAATTGTTTTTCCCGACACCCATACCCTCATCCCTTTGCTCTTCCCACCCCTCTTTCCCTCTCAATCTCCCATCCCCAAATTGAAAAATCCAAACAAATTAATAACAAACTTTTACAAGAGAAGCTTACCAAAGGAACCTGGAGAAACCTGGAGAACGAGAGATCGCTGGTTTTTGGAACGAGAGGACGAGAGGACGAGAGGACGAGAGAGTGGTTGTCGGGTATGCGAGAGCTCTGAGGCGAGAGTTGAAGGTCGGGTATGCAAGAGCTCTGAGGCAAGAGTGAAGGCGAGAGGGAAAGGATGGGCAATTTTGGGTTATTGAAAATTTCATTAAACGTACTACTGTTCATCCGTGTTTTCAATAAGCTGTTTTTGGAAGCTGCTATTTGCAGCTTCTACTCAGCTTCAGGTTTTGGGCTTTTTTTCACCCTTAGCTTTGAAATAAAGCTGTTTTTCAAAGTTTACTAAACACCAAAATTGCTACCAGCTTTTTTTCACCCCCAGCTTTTTTATTAATCACCTCCCCCCCAAACCTGACCTAAGTGTCTCTCCAGGTCTTCATCCCCTTTGAAAGATGTGAAATGTGGCATGCTGAACTTGCGTGGAGGCTCTGCCTGCTCGATCTCGTCCGTGAAGGGTAACCTGCTTATGTTGGTCATGTTCCGTCATAGTGCCTCGTCGGTGACCTCGTTGCGTTGGAAATCATGCAATCTCTTGGTCAAGAGTCTCTCTACTTCTTCCTGAATTTGCCTTTGTTGGGGTAGCGGAGCTCTCGGCTGCCCCCAGCCATGACTTGCTGGTCTAGGCTGCTCTTCCATGTGTTTGGATCGTCTATACTGTGGATGCAGTGCATGTGGTGCATTCCTAGCAGGCGAGCGAGTTCTTCGCATGCTGCTGGTTGAACTTGAGCTGGATTGAGTGATTGCTTCTCTCCGTCCATCGTGCTGCCTACTCCGATGTGAGGTGGAGGATGCTCCTTGCGGGCTTAGCCGCGAATGAACACTTTGCCCGGAAGGTTGCTCATGTTGACTATCGAAGTGTGACCCCAACCATGAATGTATGCTCATCTATAGGCCTAGTCGAGAGTGCACGCTCCTCCGCGCGCTAAGACAGGAGTATACGCCATCTCGGGGGCCCAGTCGGGAATGTACACTGCCCGAACGCTCGGCTCGTGGCTGGTCGAGTGGCTGCTTACCGGGACGCTACTGGAAAGGTTCGTCTGCCCTTGTCCTACTTCGGGATACCTTGTCTGGGGCACGTTGGATCCCGATGCGTTGCAAAAGTTGATTCACCAAGGTTGTCTGTTGTGCAAGGGCGCTCGTCAACTCTATAACTTGTCGAGACAAATGTTGTTCGCCATTTGGATTGGAAGAACTTGGAAGGAATGCGCCTCCTTGGGCAGTGGAAGGGTGGTAGACTCCGGGTGAGAGATTTGAGTTGGGAAATGTCAAATCCGCTAAAAAATATGGTGAGAATGCCCCCGGCTCGATGGTAGGTCCGGATAGTTGAGATAGTCTTGGGCCAACTTGGGCTGCTTGGAAATCCACATGAGCAGACTGGGCCGCGGGAGTAGGCTGGGCCATGAGAGCAGGTTGGGCTGCAAGAGTGGGCTGCTCGGAGAGAGCAAGCTGGACCACGGGAATGGGCTGCCCGTCGGGAACAGGCTGGGCCACGAGAGCAGGTTGGGCCATGAGAGCAGACTGGGCTGCGGAGTGGGCTGCTCGGCGGAAGCAGGCTGGACCACGGGAGTGGGCTGCCCATCGAGAGCAGGCTGGGCCACGAGAGCAGGTTGGGCCGCGAGAGTGGGCTACTCGGCGAGAGCAGGCTGCTCGGAGTGTGATGCACATAGGTGCGAGGCTTGGGCTTGGCTTGGCAACGCGTTGGGCTTGGAGTGACATGGCTTGGGTCGTGGCCTTGGTGCCTTGAGCCTTGGATGGCACGGCTCGAGCCGTGGTGAAGGCACCATGGACCTCGCCACGAGTGGCTACCAAGGTAGCCACCGTGGTGGTTCCCGTGGTGGAAACTCGTGGTGGTGGTGCTGCTCCACTTATTGTCGCATTTAGCCTCACGGATCTCCGCAATCCCATTTCTTGAATATTAGAATTTTCACTTGTGGAATTTTCTAAATTTCTAGCCATTATATTTTGCTTATACGTTTTATCAAAGAACCTTTGCAAGTAAAAAATTCTATGAAAAATATTCAAATGGACTAGAAAATAAAGAAAAAACCTTTTTGTGCGAGAGTCTTCTACGAGTATGGATTTCAACTCTCAATGAAAGCACCAATTTGTGGATGCAAATTTTCTCCCCCTCAATCTTGGACTATTTTGCACCTACAAAACAACTAGCACCTTAGGTTAAAGCCAAAAGCTTCACGCGCCCATGATGAATGAGGGGGGCTTTGGCCAAAGAACCTCTGATGCCAAAGTTAGAATTTTAGAGAGAAATAGTGTTTAGAGTATTTGGGATTTTTTGTAAGAGAATTGGAATGACTCTTTGGTGAGAATAGGTGCCTATTTATAGGATTAAGCTTACCCATTTTTCCCCTTGGTGTGGCTGGCCTTGATGGTTTTTGTGGTTTATGATTTTGGCTTAATTAGCCAATTTATTGGCTAATTAAGTATGAAAGAAGTAAATGGGAGGTTATAAAATTATTTATTTGTATAAATGGGGTAGTAAAATGGGGAAAAGTAAGAAAGACTAAGAAGAATGTGAGGTGACCAGCCACTACCTATTTTTAGGGTGAATGGGATATATTTTGTGATTAATTGGGTAATTTAATTGATGTTTAATGGATTAATTGGGTAATTAATCCATTAATTAACCAATTAACATTATTTTGTAGGTTACCTTGCAAAAGGGGATTTGATGAGATGGACTTTGAATTGGTTACCTCTTTTGGAGCATTTTTTATTTTGTCGAAAGATGATTCTCCACTACTCGCGCGTAGGAATCCCAATGTGCCTCAAGGGTATTCTTGTCCTTTTTTATCCAAAGATTCACATGTCGCCTTGTGATTATTTTTTGCTCCACAGGCACCGTTCTCCGAATCTCGAGAGCCACCAACAGCATTACTTGCTCAAAAATCGAAGAGGCACCACTCTCCGAATCTCGAGAGCCAGACTCCCAACATGATGGCTTTCTCAAAAATTGAAGAGGCATCGCTATCCGAATCTAGAAAGCCAGACTCCCAACAGGATTGCTTTTTCAAAAATCGAAGAGGCACCGCTCTCCGAATCTCAAGAGCCAAATTCCCAATAGGATTGCTTGTTCAAAAATCGAAGAGGCAACGCTCTCCGAATTTCAAGAGCCAGATCATAACATATCTTCTTGCTCAAAAATCGAAGAGGCTCCACTCTTCGAGCTTCGAGAGCCAAATTTCCTTGGATAAAGCTTGTATGCAATCTTCACACGCAACATCAGCTCTCTGGATACCACGGACCACTTTTTCAAAGTGCTCTGACAAAGTTAAAACACGTGAAGCTTGCAGCTCCCACTACATTGCTATGACCAAGAAAGGTAAAGGAATAGCATTACTACTTGTTGTTGGGGAAACTCATATATATGTCGACCTGCATCCTCCACGGACAGGCAGACCTGCAAAAATGCTCAACCCTTCCTCATATATGAGAGGGCACTCCCAACGAAGCTTCTCGAAATACTCAGCTTTCTTCCCCCCTAATAATACCTCTGCAAACCAGCCACACCAGAGTAAGAGTATCTCATATCATCAGGGTCAAAAGCAAGAGTATCCCATATCATGCTTTTTCTTTATCTTTTCCTTTGCCCTTGCTCTTACCTACAAAACAAGGAGAAAGAAAGCAATTAGTCGGAACCTGAAATCAAACTTCCGATCTGGAACTGATTGCCTGGAACCTTTACATGGTTGCTCACCTAGCATTGCTCTCGAGTACTCATCCTCAACTGTTGTCAAGGTTACAAATCCCTTCGGCAAATACCTCAGAACAGTTAATACGATACTGGCTATTTACATTGAAGCTGCCAAGCATGGATGAGTAGCTGAGAAGCAATGCTCTGAAAGACCATTTAAATGCAAAGGTTGCGCACTACTTCTACTATGCAAAAGATTGAAGCAGAAGGTTCAACATGAGCTGGAACATATCACCATAACACAATGCCCTTCCTATAGAACCACATAATCCAGACGGAGGAGGCTAAATCAAATCCAAGCTCGGCATCGCTACCCTATCTGAAGAGCTCAAGAAACTTTAACAACCTTTCGCTGGCAACATCACCAAAGAGCAAAGCCTCGCCATACCACATCCACTACTTTGTCAACAACAAAAGTATCCCATATCATCAAGGTCGAACGAACTCTTGATTTGATGGACTTGTTTTAACCCTCAAATTCTTGAGTAGGCCCTATACTCTGGAGGAAACCAGAAAACCCTTCATCCCAATTCAAGAATAAGCTTGTGGAAATTTACTTCTTCAAAAGCAAAAGTATCTCATATCATCTCTTCTCCATGTCATTTTCTTTTTCCTTGTTGATGTCTATAGAACAATCAGCCGGAACACGAGATCAAACTTTCGATCTGAGACTGACTGCTTGGAACTCTGATTGTTTACCTTGTCTGTCGCCTCTTTCGGCAGATCTCCTCGCTCAGAGACTTGGGGGACTCCTACTATAGGGTTTGTATCACGCTTGACCAAGCCTAAAACTACAAGTAAGCTTTAAGTGAAATTGATACATTGCCTTATGCATCTCCAACGGTTAAAGATACCACCCCTGGATTGAGGAAAAGTACTTCCAGAGAAGATGCCACATCTACCTATGAGACAGATAAGGCAAGTGAAAACGATACCACACTTCAGTAGTTGGAAGTTTCATGATTACTCAATGGCTTGGATCTTGCAAGTCCCCAACCGACGAGCTTCCCTCACTCGGGAACTTAGGGGAACACTGTTTATACCATACTTGACCAATCCTGAAACTACCAAGCACCGATCAACGTTATACCGTCAAGGACCCAGAAGAGTTTCCCTCCAAACAGGAGGCCAATCATAGCGCGACATGTGTCAACATCAGAGGCCAATCATAGCATGACACGTGTCAATGTCAGAACAAAGCTAGAAACTCTCTTCTATAAAAGGAGATCATTCTCCCACAATAATCCCTAATGTCATTTGTACTAAATCATTCACTAGTACTCACTAAAGGAGAGCTTGAACCTATGTACTTGTGTA